CTTTTTTTTGAGGGCAGTGGCATGATCTCCGCTTCCCGAGTTCAAGCAATTCTCCTGCCTCATCCTCCCTAGTAGCTGGGATTACAGGTGCATGTCACCATGTCCAGCTAATATTTGTATTTTTAGTTGAGATGGGGTTTCACCATGTTGGCCAAGTTGGTCTCAAACTCCTGACCTCAGATGATCCGCCCACCTCAGCCTCCCAAAGTGTTGGAATTACAGGGTGAGCCATCGTGCTCAGCCTCCAAGCATGTTTTTCAAAAGACCAAACCTTTAACAAGGCATCCAAGATAAAAGAGCTTGGGCTGGGGACAGTGCAGTGTACATTTTAGAATTCATCTTTGAAATCAATTAGAGCTGAGTTTGAATCCTGACTTTACCAGCTACAGATCTTGTAGAAGACATTTACTCTGGGCCCTCATTTCCTAAGCTGTAGAATGAGGATGTGAATAATGTTTCCCAGGGTTGCTGTGATGATTAACTAAGATCGAGCATATAGCACAAAAAGAATTTAGTAAATATTAGTCATTTTTTCCAACTTTTACACAAAAGGGTTCAGAAACCTGGAGACCAAGAACCAGGTTCACTCTCTTCAACCTCTGTGTCTTCTGTGTTCTCTTGAAGCCCTTCGCTGTGTCACCCAGAGTCCCTTCGAGTAGGGAATTTGTATTAGGCATCTTTGTGGTACATCCACTGAGACCGGTCCCTCCAAACTCAGACTGAGGAGGTGACGACCGAGAGCCCTGCAGGTGGAAGAAAGAGGTGCTGAAACAGACCAGAAGCTTTTCCACACACAAATCAGTCTTAACCCCAAAGGCCCTACAGCAAAGGGAGTGGAACTGGACTCTAGGAAGACGTAGCTGGTTGCTCACGGTGTTTGGCCAGAGTGCTTACGGGGCGTATTTAGTTATGTCTGACTCCCCTGGGGAAGAGGGCTTGCCTCTTACTCATCTTTGTAACTCAGAAGGCAACGCAGTCTGGTGCCTAGTGGGTGCCCAATCACTGTTGACTGAACAAATATTCCCTTCTCAACCCTTCTTATCAAGACTCATTGGATTTCTACTTTTTTGGTGTTTACTTTCAATGCTGCCTTTGATCTTCATTTGGGTAGGGTTTTGGGAGTGCATTGGGAAGGAGACCGAACAAATAGAATTCCTTCTAGGCTCTCTACATCCCTAGGGGATGCCTGCCTAAAAATTGCCTGCTTATGCGGAGGCTCAGGCCTTGTAGAGGGAGCTCAGCTCCAATGTGTCAAATCCCGAGACTCCCATAATCATTAGTAGCAGCTGCAAGCCCCAAGAGCTCCTTGCAAAAGTAGAAACAGCCACAGAAATGAGAAACTTTCTATTGCCTATAGCAAAAGAAAGCAAACTAAAACAAAGTGAGAGGTGAAGCTGAACTATTATCCCTACATATTATTAATAATGACACCTCTTATTTGAATAGCATTTTGGAATTTTAAAAAAATGCTTTTTCCTCTATTATATCAATCATTGCTCATCACTTGCTTTGAGCTATTGCAGCCAGTTTGCTGATGGAGAAACTGCTTAGAGACAGGCCTCAACAGCAGCTGCAGCGTCCTAGAATAAGCTACCAGCATCCCTTAGTGAGAACTCCTGTGTTCCCTGGTGTCTCTACGGGATATCTTAAGGGAAATAAGCAGAAGAGTGGTCAGCTAGATGAGTGACTGATTGTTCTGACTGCTTCAGGTTTACAAACCCTTTTTTAATTTGTTTTTTGTTTTGTTTTGTGTTCTTAGAGAAAGGAGATTTCAGCCAGGATAGGATTTTCCCGGAGAATTCTTTAGAAAGAGTGCCAGAATCTTTACCTTCCACCTTGACAGTCCCCAGAGACAAACTGAAAGGACCTCGCTTAATGTCTCATCAGAAGGGTATTTGCAGTGCTGGCTTCATCATTCAAAGCAGGAAAGGCCTTTGTCATGGTCAAATGGCTTTAATGTGTTTTGAATGCTACATAAATTCAAACTTGATGGCTCATTTATTTGTTGGATTGAAGTTTTATACAATAAACGAAGCCTTGGTATTTACTAATAACTTGTGAGCTGCCCTTTGTTTGTTTAGAACAGCCAGAAGGCAAAGAAGTTGACTGAGTCCCTCACGGCCAATCTGATGTTCAGATCCTGGCATTTCCTGGGACAGTTTATGGATCGGTGGGAAGGGTCATAAGAAGGTTGTTTGTGGAGAAGTCAGAGGACACAGTGGGGAAAAGTCGAAGGGGAAGGATCTGTAGGTGGGGGTTTTATTTCAGACTTGTTCTGATGCAGCCCCACCACGGTGGCTTCAACCGCTGAGTTCAGTGAGCTGGGAGGGAATTCAGAGCTTTGAGTGACAGGCCAGGCTTGGCCAGTGACTTGTGGCATGACCTTGGGAGATTAATTGTTCCTACTGTGTCTCACTATCTCACGCCGAGGAAGAAAAGAAAGTGTAGAATAAATTCAATTCATTGTTCAAGGTGAGCTTCATTAAACTACTGTCCTTACAGGAAATCTGTGCTCTTTACCCCTATCCCATCTGCAAACATTTCTCTCTTTCTGAAACTCCAATAGACATTATTGGTCCCCGTAGATGCTGTGGGTGAGAACACGGGCTTTGATGTCACAGCTGAGTGTGAGTCCCAACTCTGTCATTCATGTAAATTGAACACGGAGGAAATGTTTTTGAGCTTCCATTTCCTCACCTGCAAAATGGGAATCACTACAGAGATGACCACTATGCTATTGTGAGAGAGAAATGAATGCGGCAGGTCGTCAGCTCTGTGCCTGGCATTTAGAAAGGATTCCTTATAGATAGGAGTGATGACAATGACAGCCTTATGTTTTGGGGTTTAGAGTAGAACGTAAGTGCCTGAAGAGAAGGAATCACACGTTTGCAGTTCTTTGCCGCACCCAGTACGTGGAGATGGGCTTCTTTTCTGTGATAATGGATGTTCACAGCCTGCCTCTGAGGGACAGAGGGTGCGCCTGCTACCCTGAGGACCCGCTGAGGCACAGCAGCATCTTCAGGTTTATCTGAAGGGTAAGAATGAGTCATGGGACCCGAGTGGGCAAAATCTCAGCATCTCAACATCTCTCCATTTCCGGAGCTGGGGAAATGTTTATTCCTGTTAAGACTGGATGACAGGGTCTGCCTTCAGCACCTCCCCATTTCCGCACAGAGATTCCAGCAGACTCATTTGCTGGGATGAGTCCTGGCCTTGAGAAAGATACACCAGGAAACGTTTCACTGGACGGGAGCCTCGGCTTGGGTTTGTTGGTCTCTGGCGGACTCCTGTCTGCGGTGCCTGCCTGCTTGGGTCCTGATCTAGGTGTGCTTGGCCCTGAACGCTTCTGCCCTTGGCTGCAGCCGGCACTGGCAGGCCTTTCCTCATTTTTCCACGCTGGAGTCTTCATTTTGTTCCAGTAGCCACGTCTCCCCTGAGTCGCTTGGATTAATTCAGATTGGTCTAAGGCAATCATTGGAGCCTCATTCGCCGAATTTGGTCAGTGAAAATAAAGCTTCTGTGTAAGGCTTATTAGCTCTAAAAAATAAGGGGGGTTAAAATGATAAGAAGAGCTAGCACCCCTGTATCCGTCAGAGTTCTCCAGAGAAGCAAAATCAGTAAGATTTGCATGTGAATATGAGTGAGTGTGTCTCTGTGTGTGTGTCTGTGTGTGTGTATGTGAGTCAGGGTTCTCTGGAGGAACAGAATTAATGGAATAGATACATATAAAAGAGAGCTTATTAAATATTAACTCACACGATCACAAGGTCCCACAATAGGCAGTCCACAGTCTGAGGAGCAGAGAGAGCCAAGTTCCAAAGCTGAAGAACCTGGAGTCCGTTGTTCGTGGACAGGAAGCATCCAGCATGGGAGAAAGATGTAGGCTGGGAGGTAGGCCAGTCTAACCTTTTCATATTTTTTTCTTCCTGCTTTATATTTGCTGGCAGCTGATTAAGTGGTGCCCACCAGATTAGAGGTGGGGCTCTAGTCCACTGACTCAAATGTTAATCTCCTTTGGCAACACCCTCACAGGCACACCCAGGATCAGTACTTTGCATCCTTCAATCCAGTGAAGTTCACATTCAGTATTAGCCATCTGTGTGTGTGTGTGTGTGTGTGTGTGTAGAGAGAGAGAGAGAGAAATTATCATAAGGAATTGGCTCATGCTATTATGTATCAGGAATGCTAGCAAGTCCAAGGATCTGCAAACTGGAGACGCAGGAGAGCCAATGATTTAATTCCAGTCCAAATGCAAAGATCTGAGAATGAGGAAAACTGACAGTGTAAATTCCAGTTGAAAGGTTGTTAGACTGTAGACCCAAGAAGAATTCATGTTTCCTGAAGGCAGGACAAAAGTCAGTGTCCCAGCTGGAAGGCAGCCAGGCAGGAAGAATGCTCTCTTACTCAGTGGAGGGGCAGCCTTTTTTTCTTTTTTCTTTTTCTTTTTTTTTTTTTTTAAATATAAACAGTTTATTTATTCTAAACAGCAACACAGACAAAACGCCATATAAGCACAAAGGAAGTGACGCAGAACGGAGAGGCGGCTGACCTGGGATCTGAGGCTTGAAAGCAACACAGCCCAGGCCCTGGAGGAGCGGCGGAGGGAGGGCGCATTTCCAGACATCCAGCCGGGCTAGGTGAAGCTCTGCACGGTGAGAAGCATGCCTGCATCCGAGAGCGAGGGCTCGCTCTTGGGGGACTTACCCAAGTATAAAAGTTTATCATTTTACAGCAGTTGAAATACTGACATCAATATTAAAATAAAAGCAAGTTTTACATAACAATCAAAATACAAAAGACTGAAGGAAGAGACCCTGTATGAAAAACGGGCAATTCAGCGAGTGGAGACTGAGGACCGTGGTGGCAATGGAAGACGGCGCCCGCCCAACCCCGCCCAGGCGACTCGTCATTGTAGGGAGCAACTTCAGACTTGCAAATGTGTTGTGAACAAGTTCTTGCCAAACCAATCCCTTCCTTTCTGCGAGGCCAAGGGCCGCTGCTTATGAGGGCGGGAACTTCTTGGCTTGTGCTGGGACCCTCTTCTCGTACTCCACTCTTGTTTTGGCAGTAAATCGTGCAGGCCTCTGCTTGAGCTGGGTCTTGGATATTTGGTTCATTTAGCAGTTCCTGTATTCCTAATAGGACCTGTTTGATTGTGATGGCTGGCCTCCATTCCTTGTCCTCCTCTAAGATGGACAGGCACACTGTCCCCAAAGGGTACACATTTGGGTGAAATAACGGTGGTTCAAATGTACATTTCGGTGGTGAAGATGGATAGTCATTTTTGAAAAGCATCCGTAGTTTAAACAAGCCTCCTTCCCACGGAGTCCGTTTCTTTCCTGGAATGGCGCACTTCCAGTTCATGAGGTTCATCGTGCCATCGGGATTTTTTGTCGGGACAGCCACGAAGCCAGACGGGTGGTCTTTTCTCCACGCTTTCCTCTCCTGAGCGAGTCTGCTGAGGGCGATCCCTGACATGTTCAGAGTCCCTCGGGCGGACAGGCGGAGGACCGAGCGGGCGGCGGTGGCTGCTTCCCTTTGTCTCGGGGCAGCCTTTTTGTTCTATTCTGGCCTTCCACTGATTGGCTGAGGCCACCCACATTCGGAAGGGCAATGTGCTTTACTCAGTCTACTGATTCACATGTTACTTTCATCCAGAAATGCCCACACAGAAACACCCAGAATAATGTTTGACCAAATATCACCCTCTGGCCCAGTCAAGTTGACAGAAAATGAGTCATCATATCCCCATTCTAACTTGGTGTGACTTGTGGACTGAATCGTGTCCCCCTAGAAGGATATATTGAGATCCTAACCCTGGTGCCTCTGAATGTGACCTTGTTTGGGAATGGCTTCATTGCAGATGTAATTAGTTAAGATGAGCTCGTTCTGGGGGAGAGTGGAACCTTAGTCGAATATGACTGGTGCCCTTATGAGATACAGACAAGGAGAGAATGTCATTTGATGATGGAAGAAGAGATTGGAATTCTTCGGCTGTAAGCAAAGGAACACTGAGTGTTACCTACACTAGACGCTAAGGGAAAAGCATGGAACAGATCCTCCCCCAGAACCTCTGGAAGAAACCAACCCTGCCAACACCTTGATTTTGGATTTCTGGCTTCCAGGACTGTGAGACAATGCATCTCTATTGTCTGAAGCTCCCAGTTTGTGGCACTTTGTTAGGGCAGCCCTAGGAAATTGATTCAGTGTGTGACAGTGTCACTCCTTGGGCTGCGGTGCCGTTCCGCTACCATGAGATGTGCTGACAGATACACCGAGAGTGACAGCGCAGAGTCGGGAGAACCTGCGTCTTTGATACATTTGGTGAGCTCTTGAATTAACCGGCTTGGAAACTCCCCTTCCTCTAAACTTCTTGTAATATGAAATAGTACAAACCCTTATCATCTCAACCATTTGGGATTGAGTCTCCTGATTTTCAGAGACAAGCGCATCTGATTGATGGATGGCTCTCATACCTTCTTCACTCCAGGCTCTCTGCTCCTCTGTTCCTTGTCACGGTGAACGGCAACCTGATCCACCCAAATGCCCACGGGAGAAACCCAGTTCCATCCTTGGTCCTTTCCGTTCTGTCATCCTCCCGACTTGATCATTCATCGGGCCCTCCCAATATCGCCTCCCTATTCAATCTGCCTGTGCCTTCACTGCCTTGGTACTAAGCCTCTCCTTATGTGTTATCACAACAGTGGAATTGTATCGTCCGTGGCAAGTCTTGGTCAACTTAAACCATCCTTTTCACCAGAGCCAGGGTGAGGCTCTGTAATATATGATTTCTCCAGGTTATTCTCATGGCCTTTAGGAAAAAGGCCAAGTTCAAACTCCTTAGCATGAGGTCATTCATGATCTGGCCCCTGGTGGCAATTTCAGTCTCATCTCTTATCACTTGGTTAGACTTTTCAGCTGCTGGAGTTACCACTGTCTGTCTCACCCCAGGGCCTTTGCACAGACAGCTTCCTTGAGCTAAAATACCAGCTGCCTCCCTTGGCCTGCCTAACACCAACTCATTCTCCAGGCCTCAGCTCAGCCACTCCTTCCTCCAAAGGGCTTTTTCTGATTGGTCCTGCCATTGCTTGGTTGGGTATTTTCAGATTCTAGAACATTGGTGCTAAGAGGAACATGGCGTGGGATGCTGTGTGTTGTAGTGGCATAAGCACTAGGTAGGGAGTGAGAAGATGCCCCATGTCTGACACTGATGAAGTTGTGGAGCCCTGGGGAAGTCCCTTCCCTCTTAGGCTTCAGTTTCTCTGCCCACAGGATGGGGGACTAGGGCTATGCCAGTCATTCTCATGAGGGAGTAGGGCTATGTCAGTGGTTCTCATGAGGGAGCAGGACTATGTCAGTGGTTCTCATGAGGGAGAAGAGCTATGTCAGTGGTTCTCATGAGGGAGTAGGGCTATGTCAGTGGTTCTCATGAGGGAGCAGGACTATGTCAGTGGTTCTCATGAGGGAGTAGGGCTATGCCAGACATTCTCATGAGGGAGTACGGCTACGTCAGTGTTTCTCATGAGGGAGTAGGGCTATGTCAGTGTTTCTCATGAGGGAGTAGGGCTATGTCAGTGTTTCTCATGAGGGAGCAGGACTATGTCAGTGGTTCTCATGAGGGAGTAGGGCTATGCCAGACATTCTCATGAGGGAGTAGGGCTATGTAAGTGGTTCTCATGAGGGAGTAGGGCTATGTCAGTGGTTCTCATGAGGGAGAAGAGCTATGTCAGTGGTTCTCATGAGGGAGCAGGACTATGTCAGTGGTTCTCATGAGGGAGTAGGGCTATGTCAGCAGTTCTCATGAGGGAGAAGGGCTATTTCAGTGGTTATCTTGAGGGAGTAAGGCTATGTCAGCAGTTCTCATGAGGGAGAAGGGCTATTTCAGTGGTTATCTTGAGGGAGTAGGGCTATGTCAGTGGTTCTCATGAGGGAGAAGGGCTATGTCAGTGGTTATCTTGAGGGAGTAGGGCTATGTCAGTGGTTCTCATGAGGGAGCAGGGCTATGTCAGTGGTTATCTTGAGGGAGTAGGGCTATGTCAGTGGTTCTCATGAGGGAGCAGGGCCATGTCAGTGGTTCTCATGAGGGAGCAGGACTATGTCAGTGGTTCTCATGAGGGAGTAGGGCTATGTCAGTGGTTCTCATGAGGGAGTAGGGCTATGCCAGTGGTTCTCATGAGGGAGAAGGGCTATGTCAGTGGTTATCATGAGGGAGCAGGGCCATGCCAGTGGTTCTCATGAGGGAGTAGGGCTATGTCAGTGGTTCTCATGAGGGAGCAGGGCCATGTCAGTGGTTCTCATGAGGGAGCAGGGCCATGTCAGTGGTTCTCATGAGGGAGTAGGGCTATGCCAGTGGTTCTCATGAGGGAGTAGGGCTATGTCAGCAGTTCTCATGAGGGAGAAGGGCTATTTCAGTGGTTATCTTGAGGGAGTAAGGCTATGTCAGCAGTTCTCATGAGGGAGAAGGGCTATTTCAGTGGTTATCTTGAGGGAGTAGGGCTATGTCAGTGGTTCTCATGAGGGAGTAAGGCTATGCCAGTGGTTCTCATGAGGGAGTAGGGCTATGTCAGTGGTTCTCATGAGGGAGCAGGGCCATGTCAGTGGTTCTCATGAGGGAGTAGGGCTATGTCAGTGGTTCTCATGAGGGAGCAGGGCCATGTCAGTGGTTCTCATGAGGGAGTAGGGCTATGCCAGTGGTTCTCATGAGGGAGTAGGGCTATGTCAGCAGTTCTCATGAGGGAGAAGGGCTATTTCAGTGGTTATCTTGAGGGAGTAAGGCTATGTCAGCAGTTCTCATGAGGGAGAAGGGCTATTTCAGTGGTTATCTTGAGGGAGTAGGGCTATGTCAGTGGTTCTCATGAGGGAGTAAGGCTATGCCAGTGGTTCTCATGAGGGAGTAGGGCTATGTCAGTGGTTCTCATGAGGGAGCAGGGCCATGTCAGTGGTTCTCATGAGGGAGTAGGGCTATGTCAGTGGTTCTCATGAGGGAGCAGGGCCATGTCAGTGGTTCTCATGAGGGAGTAGGGCTATGCCAGTGGTTCTCATGAGGGAGTAGGGCTATGTCAGCAGTTCTCATGAGGGAGAAGGGCTATTTCAGTGGTTATCTTGAGGGAGTAAGGCTATGTCAGCAGTTCTCATGAGGGAGAAGGGCTATTTCAGTGGTTATCTTGAGGGAGTAGGGCTATGTCAGTGGTTCTCATGAGGGAGTAGGGCTATGCCAGTGGTTCTCATGAGGGAGTAGGGCTATGCCAGTGGTTCTCATGAGGGAGTAGGGCTATGCCAGTGGTTCTCATGAGGGAGAAGGGCTATGTCAGTGGTTATCATGAGGGAGCAGGGCCATGTCAGTGGTTCTCATGAGGGAGTAGGGCTATGTCAGTGTTTCTCATGAGGGAGCAGGACTATGTCAGTGGTTATCATGAGGGAGCAGGGCCATGTCAGTGGTTCTCATGAGGGAGCAGGGCTATGTCAGTGGTTCTCATGAGGGAGCAGGACTATGTCAGTGGAGTCCATGGGGGAGTTGGACTGTGTCAGTGGTTCTCAAGAGGGAGCTGGGCTATGCCAGTGTTTTTCATGGGGAGAAGGGATATTCCAGTGCTTCTCATGAAGGAGGGGGGCTGTGCCAGGTGTTTCAGTGGGGTCCGTAGGGCTATGTTGGTGGTTTTCAAACTATGTCCTTCAGAGCTCTGGGAATTCTGGAGAAAGTTGTCCAGGTGAGAAGCAAAAGGGGCAAAACCACCTTTTGGATCCCACTCCTAATTCTCTTCAGGTCTCTTTTAATATCTCCATCATATATTGTGCTTTTATGATAATTTGTTTTAGGTAAAAGAGAATTAGTAGCTTGAAAACATTAGAAAACCACTGACATTTGTAATTAGGATCTTGCCCAGCTCAGACATCCTGTTGTTAACACAAAGCTTCCCAGCAGAGGAAGAGGGGGAGACAGCTGAGGGTGCAAAGATGATTGTGATGAAGTCAATGAGGGACTTGACGGGAACCTGGTGACCTGAGCTGCTGGCTTTGGTCCAGTCAAACCTGGCACAGAATCTACAGAAGTGAGAGTTTTCGTGATGAGACTGAACAATTTGGGTTTGGAGTCAAAAGAACGGGGGCTGCTGGACTCCAGACCACTGGCTTACACCCCTGATGCTCAGTGGAATTATCTGGAAGGTTTTGAAAAGCACTGATGCCAGACTCCGCTCCTCAAACAACTGAATGGCTCTCTAGGGGAGGACTGTGGCATCTGAACCCTGCAGAGGAGAACTGTGATTGTCTTGCTCCCCATCACAGTCCCGGTGCCCAGCATATACAATCAGTAGGCAATAAGCAACAGCAAATATTTGTTGAATGAAAAGGCACATTTCATATTGACGACTGATAGGCTTTTATCTCCTTAATCAGGTCACTGAGACTTTCTGAGGCTCAGTTCTTTCGTCTGCAAAATGAAAAAGTAATTTCTACTCAGAAGTGATGCTATGAGAATAAGGGGTAGGTCAGG